CGTAGATCTTATTCTCACACACCGAGTACTAACTGAAAGCCAGCATCCATGTATATCACTGTTGACCCTAGCCCCTTACAAAGAAAGCAGAGGAAAGTACCTGGAACTAATGATGCAACAATCTAGTTTAAATCGAATAAATTATTTTTAATCACTTAGAATCTGTTCCCACTGGAATGCATTGCCAAGATATGGGGTGAACGCGCCACACATGACGACATTCGAAAGACCCTTAGACTTTCATTTTAGTGATAAATGCTACACAACATTTCAATAAAGTGCGATGATTTAACCATTGATACTTCACGTTCCACGTCGGAACATTTGGCTTTTGTGTATCCATCCTGTGGGTCTTGTAAAGTTATGCATTTTATCCCATCATACACTATTGAACTATTGAGGTTTTCGTGGCCCCCTCCAAGACGAACATCGAATGTCATAAGTGTTCCTCCCATTCTAACGTGCAACCGTTATGCTCCGTCACCTTCAAGCGATGTCCTCCGACCGTCTGCGTTACAACCGAGGACCGAGTCATAATGGAAACTTCCACATACCTTCAATAACTATCTCGAAGACCCGTAGATTCTACCTACTCGACATGGATGGAGGAACAACGATAAAAAATTTCCATTTGCACAATATCGCTGAAAATGACCCACATGACAGTATCAAAATAGTAGTGATCATCTCGATTTCGGTGTCACTGCATCGTACAGCCTTCTTCAGGGTGTCCCTCGAAGATAGCTTTTCTATCATCTGGCTCGATTGGTCTACTTTGAATTCCAGCTTCCTCGCATCGTTACAGGTTACGAGAAACTGGGTCACTGTCACCATCCCCGCCGTACTGCTGATTCCAACCGTCGACGCCAAGAGTACTCTATCTTGAAGTGGGCGCAGTGACATCCAACTCAGAGAGCTATGGCTTCGAAGATTAAGACTGAATTTGTCTATTATTCAAAATTGTCCATCGACTGACATACATTAGTTACTAGCAGCTGGTGTTTTAAGAATCCTCACCGCATGACCTAAGAGACAAAGACTATGTGGTAAAACTACCTCGTTTCCGCACAAGTCTGCGCTATAACAGCTTTACATATAGAGATGCCAAGTTATGGAATAGATTGCCTCCGGCCATCAGAATTACATCTTCACTTGGAACATTTAAAGTTTAAATAAAAGTGTACTTAACGGTTAATAAAGTAAAAGAACCGTTTCTTGTCAGTTGCACGGACGAATGGGTGTACGAGAACAGGCCTGAGAACATCTAAGTACTTGCGGAATTCGCAATATAAAAGTATAAATAAATATGGCGAGAAGGGTTTGTCGACACAACGTGAAATACAGTATTCCATTAGCATGGGTTTTTCTTTGTCTCTCATTCCTTCCTCCTACTGTGTCACAACCTTCGGGATTACGCAAATTGATGACCCACCGATGGCCTACAAAAACATTGGTACACCGATAGGTTGGATAAATGAGATTATGATTTTCTCTTGGTCTATGCTGTTATACTCTTACTCAGGTTGATGGCCCCTTGGTGACCTATAAAACCTGGGCACATCGAGGAATTGGATAGATGGGATCTATCTTCGAATTTTCTTCATCTACACTGCTCCTTACTGTGCTCTTACTCAGCTTGAAGACCCATTAATGGCACTTGAAAAACATGCGCATATTGGTGCGTTGGATAAGCAAGCATTTTCCTTAGCCTTCATATAATACTTCCTTTCTATCAAACAGCCAGGTGAGAGGCATCAATGCCTACAAGACACTGAAAGGGTGAATTGTTGATGACCGCAACTAACACAACAAATTTATGTACACAATCCCACTTGCCCTGTGTTATCACATCTTACCTCTTGTGTGAGGTACGTCGTTAATGCCAATTGATTTATGTTTCGTGATGGATGTAGTTTTTGGTTTCACCGTCTATCGTGTTATCATGTCTGCTCGCACACTTTCACTATCTACAAAGTATTATATACCAAGGTTATGAATATTTAGACTACATTTACCCTGTACATATCGTCACACATCTCCTAAAACTTTGTTATTGCGCTTTCTTTTCCCAACCATCCGCCTAAATGTATCTGACCGTTTTGCAATAGTCGTGGATTCCAACGAATTTTAAAACGAAATCAATGGCGCAATAATCAATGGAATTGGAACCACAAGTGATGTTGTACAGCAATTTTGCAAAACCATTCTGCATTTCCTTTGTACCTATGATCGGACCAGCTTAGCTGTACCGTGCTGCACCCAGTTGAGAATATATCATTTATTAAAGATCGCTAGGCTCAAAACAACTGCCCTTGAACAGTCACATCTGTTCAGCACCCAAGAATCAATCGATATCAGCAAGCTTCGGAGCATCAATCCTACGTCATCTCAGAATGTGACTGCTTTGTGCTTTCGATGTAGAAGTTCTCGACACAAAGCAGATTGTCAGACGTGTCCGGCCCGTACAGTAGATTGTGGTAAGCAGGGCCATTTCGTTCGGTGTGATCGGTACCGCCGCGTAGCACCAGTTGAATAACCATCGACTGAGTCTCGTGCGTCCACTACGGAAGATACTTTTGCGGTTAGAAAACTTCATCAGCCAGACAATCGGCAAACATTCTTGATGGAGTCCAAGCTCCCTTCCCCTGACATTCGTAATTATGCTTTATGGCCTCCACACCACTGTGCCAACTAGCCTTTATGACAATTACTTACATGACATTCTACTGCACCCCACTTCGTACAATTTTGACTCATATACCAATGCCTCTATGTGCATCCGTGGATATATAGTGATGAAACTTAGTCTACAGTAGGTCGCATCCGACGTTGTTGTCTACGTGGCATCTAAAGACAGCCCAGCCTTGTTGAGGCGAAATGCTATGGTCGCTCTAAATATAACGCTATCTATCGATCGAATGCGCATCATGGTACTTAATACGTCTATGCTTAAAGGTTTATATCCCAAATTATTTACTGAGACGATTGGCCGGATTCCATCTGCCGCTCGTCGCATATGCCTTAAACAGGACGTTAAGCGATTTTCTATATCGCAGCCACGTTGGCGAAACGTGCGATGGTAGAGAAAGCATACAGGAGATGGTATCCAACGATCTGGTAGAGCCAGTTAACTTTTCCGAATGAGTGCATCCCATGGTCACGATGTTAAAGAAGAATGGTACTGTGCGCATATGCAATGACTTGAAGGCGTTGAATAGTCAGATAGTCCTAGAAAAGTTCATTCTTCCCACAGTTGATGAGTTGAGTCAAAATAAATGACGCACGATGTTTCTCAAAATTAGACCTGAAGTAGGCTTTTTCCACGCCATTGACATCAGAATCGAGGCCACTAAGGGCTTTCCTGTCATCGAGCGGTTTGTTCCAGTATAACGATTTGCCAATGGGGCTCAGCTCTGCTCTCAAACAGAAGTTCATGAATTACGCACTAGCAGATCTACCGGGACAAGTCGCGTACATGGATGATATTTGCGTTTCCGGGCTTTCAAGAGAAGAGCACGACTCAAGGTTACGCGCTGTATTACACTGGTTGGAGAGCCTAGATCTTCGGCTTAATCGTAAAAAATGTACATTTTGTACCATTAAAGTCGTATTCCTTAGGTAAATATTGGAAACCGACCGTGCGCTGCTAATACTCAAAGTAACACAGAAGCCCTCACACGGAAGAATGCATCTGAGGTTAAGCATTTTCTTGGTCTACGCTCTTACAACTTACGCTATTTGCCCTGCTTTGCTACCCTAGCGGAGCCCTTGAAAATGCTGACAAAGGAAAATGCTACCTTCGACTGCGGCTCTGAACAGCAGTCTGACTTTTGAGAAATTAAAAGATGCCAATGTTGGCAATTTTCGATGAAAACTGCATTACGTTCGTCTCGACGGATGCGTCAAACATCGGTTTAGGAACAGAGAGAAGCACATCCTTCTTCTGAACCGTTGCTACGGGCTTAACGCGTTCACGCGTCATGGCGTGCTTTTTGATGAAAGGCTCAGGGTATCCATTCGAAAGAAATGTTTTCACAATTCGGTCCTTCTCATCCGGACTACAAATGTTGGTGGCCCGATAATACAAGCAAAGCACTAAGTTGCGTTTGTACTTCAGAGGGACGAAGCTCGAAAAGTGTGTGTACTGTCCAACCCATGTAGCTTTGCGGAAGACGCTACGCTCAAGTGACCCGTTCTCGCATCTCCTCAACAAAACGACCAGAAAAACCACCTTACCTTCATTTTCCATTTCACTAGAGAACTTCATTGAGGGATGTGCACTGTTGAACTGGTCGAGCACATAGTTGACATCAATGAGCGAATCGTAGATGATGAACGTGTCATCCATATACCTCCAATAAGAATCAAATGAGGCGATAACCCCTTGGATGGGACCACGCTCAAGTAGTGGGCCTAGTGGCTCAATTGTCACTCAATTAGCGAGGGGATGTTGTGGCGTTTACCGCAAGTTCCAGTCAGATCTCTCAGGCTATGTACCGCAGCCTGCAAACGATTGGATGAGCGTCATCGATGGATCAATATGAAGGTCATTACATCCGTACCTTATCACACACTTTTTCATTAGTGTCCAGAGGGTGCCCGCTCCTTGTTCTGTTTTCGTTAGTGGGTTCGGTCCGTAGTGATTCATGACCCTACTTGCGCAGGGCCCATTGTGCGTATTGGGACACAACACCTACCATTTATTCGTGAAGCGTCCAACAAAAGAATGCGCACCCACGTACGCTTCAACAAACGAATGTGCAAACAAAGTAATGTGATAGCGTACGTCCGCATGACAAATAAGCAAGTCAATAGTATTCGTCTGAGGTGCAGATTATGGATACGGTGGGGTTCTGATGGAAAGATATGTTATCAACAGAAGCGGCGTGTTGCATACGAGTATCCTGATGACCGTACTGTAAGTATTTGTTGTTTCGAGGATGAGACACCCAACTTCCGACGCAAAACCTATGACGACCCGGGGCACAAAAGATGCAAGATTAAAGAAATACAAGCTATACTTGCGGGATGACGCTGTCAAAAAGTCTGAGTGAAGCAGAAAGGCAAATTAAAATGAATCTCGGAAGAGTGAAATGGTGGAGGACGTGAATATCCACATCCAAGGTCTGTGAAAAATCTGATATCCAACGGATGGGATGGCGTGGGATGTGATGGTGATGATCAAGAGTGATAGGAAGCGGGAGCGTTAAGAGTTGTTGAAAGAAACTTGTCCTGCGGAGTTGGAAAGGAGACTGATATAATGTTGGCACCGCGGATGAACAGCTGGCCATGTTGGGTATCTCCTGATGCTACCTGCTTTGAGTTCGATCCGGAAGCAGAGGCGTGCGAAGAACTATAATAGGGTTGACAACGAAAAAATACATATGTACGGTACCTGGAATGATTGTTTGCATTTGCGGTGAGTACGCCCATGTATGTGAGGTCGGTATGCCCTCGTTATGCGGAGCGCATGCACGATCCAAACTTCTTGGATGACATCAAAAGAAGAAATCGCAATCAATTAACCTAGGTAACGCATTGAAACAGAGTACAACCATACAACTGGTAGAAAATGAAAAATCCGTTCGTTAGTTGTCTCAAGATACTCAAATCACAACATATGCTATGGTGGGAAATCCAAGAAACGAGCAGAAAGTAGGGGCCAATGGTCGACTAGACGCAAGACAAATGTTCTCCGGTAGAAGATGAGTAAATTTGATCATGATCAGAAGCTATGGAGGCTTCTCTTCATAGTTTTAAGGAGTGCTGGAAAAGTGGTGGTATCCGAAAGCGTTGGAACGCTTTTGAAACATACAAAATTCGGTGTAGCCTGTTCCGTTTGCAGAAATGCACCATAAATGTGAATGTAACCAGATCCAAGCCCTTACATGATGACAAAACAACAGATTGAAACGACACGAAAAACAAGATGCAACACTCACGAGCTGCTGCATTTGCTAAAACGTCGTTCCAGTAACTGGGCTACAGATGGTACCCATCGAGAGCTGGAAATTCCACCGAGGCTTAAATTTGCTTGAGTCTTGACATCTCGTTGGGGGATCGCTTCGACAGTATCCGGAGCCGAGTGCGCACATGCGGGAGCAGTGGAATTTGTTGTGGTCGGCCAAACCAAATGCCGTGTATCGTCCCCACCCCATATTAATGCGTCATCAGGAATTTCGTCCAGAGAAAGGATATCTCCCACTTCCATTGGACAAGGAATCGCTGATTAGAAATAAAATAACATAAAAGCTTGAGCTGACAAAATGGGTCATAAAACCAGACAAAAATACCAGCTCAGTTGTGCGAAGGGCACTTAGACCAGACGCGACCGGTGTTGATGAGGGAAACACAGAGGCATAGGCTTCAAAGGGTTCTAATAAGCGAAACCCACTACTAGTTGGTGAAATTAAGGGAAATGACGACTAGCAAGTGAATGAGAGATAATAACGGCAATGCGGTGAGGAACATCATATAATGGGCTGTTGGTCGAATTTTTCAGCCTCAAAGTTCAATTAAATATGTAAACTGAGTCGTGACCCGAACTATCCAGATGCAAAATAGAGAGAACAACCACCACGAGTAGACAGTGATAAGAAAAAGTCGACAATGCGGAATGGGGACTGGATATGACGCTCAGGCAGGCCTAACGAATTTCACACACAGACGAGAGTCCCAGTGGGATCTTACTCTCCACGCTGCTTTCACATGTTGATTAGCCAATACAATTTTAGCTTTAGCCGTAGTCACTTTGAGCAGAGCTTTCGATCTGAGGTTTTACTCAATAGTGATATTTGAGTTGCCACATTTCCGTACTGGAGGTTCAGAAGATTATGAAACAGAACTGGGCAGTGTCTTTTGAATGAAGCAGGTCCGTGATGAGTGGTCACTAGAACAAACAAACCCTTGTTTGAACCAAAGCGAAACGAAGTACTCCAAATAAATTTCATAAAGCAGATTATGCGTTGGAATGGAAACATTATAGTGTTGCTCACCCCAACACTGGCACCCGAAGACCGCGGTTTCGTCCTGGTTGGGACTCATCAGTTCGAGATAGCCTGAGTTGGGCCAGAACTCAGAGTCTAGTGGCTCATGGTTGTTTTCAGATTATGCGTTGTTCAAAATGGTGTAAAAACATCCCTCGGTTGACCAGCCGCGGTGTTTAAGGTAGGCGAGCGTCGACGTTCGGCTGCACAAGCGGCACTGATGATAAAACATCGCGTACATGTTTTTGATACTAGGCTTACAAAACTCAATGGTAGGTGTCGCGGTATCTTAGCAGGATACTACAGCAGCTAGGTTGATACTGGGAGGGGCATTGCTACAGAGGATCCACTGTTGCTGCACCGAGTAGAAAAAGTGACAAATGAAAGCGTCGGGAGAAACGTGCTTATTCATTGGTGCCTGTCAAGTGCATGTTTGGCATTGATAGTCGATGAACAATAGTAGATTGCTGGGCTTAAGTATGGCAATGGACAGTATGTTGAGCTCGAACCACTTGTGTTCTCTAGGTCATGTCTTCTGCCACTTATCCGATGCTTGTATCGCCGCGTATTACTTATAAATACTGCATCTCGCCGACTGAGAATTGAAGGCGTCAGTAGATAGATAGGGATCAAAAAAACATACCAGAAGACAAAGTTGAGTAGGAGAAATCACTTAGGATCGTGCTATCGGGATTGACCATACCAATGGTCAGAAATCTTGTAGTATGCAGCATATGCACAAAGTTAGTGGTGCATTTGCAATTGTTTCGCTGACGAATTTCTTTTTTCCTTAAATCGACCTATTTCCCTTCTCTCAGTTTCCAACCAAACTTAGTAAAATCATTCTTGACATGAGCTAAGCCAAGTGGATAAGTTCAGCATAGGTGCATGAAGTATAGCTGATCAACTCAAGCAAGTGGGTAGAACCTCGGAATGACGTACACCGCGAGCGATGATGTGCGCCAGCCAAGTGAGATAATCTGCAGCTTGCGTGGTGCACGTGAAGTGACACGCGTCGCAAAATCGGTTGCGATTTCTCATTCCTATCAGAAGATGTCTCATTGGTCCAACGAGTCAAGTCCTACTACTCGGCGACTACAACTTGATGAGGACTGAGAAGACTAGCCCATCTACTTAAACGGCGATGGTGTGGATATATATATATATATATATATATATATATATATATATATATATATATATTGCAAAGACCCTGTTGCAGTAGGACTGAGGTATGTACATATTGCACTTGAGTTGTATTTCGTTTAATTGTACCGTAAATAAACGTATCGGCTTCCTTTCTTGATTGGACCCGAGAGTTTGTACGTGTTACTCGAGCCCCCAAGGGAATTTGTCGTTTACATAAATAGTTTATCGCTCCCGTAGATTATACAGCCACAACTGCCAACGGATGAGTAATAGGATGTTATGTAAGCTATTCCTTATAAATTGGCTAAACACTTTGAGCACTTTCTCGAATGCCGAATGTAAGACAGGACGTAGCGGGATTCACCAGATGCATTGTTCTTGTGATCGCATTAAAGCGGTTATCAGAGAATGTGTGATATTATCGAATTCTAACGTAGACGGCATCCACTAACGATAAGACATCACTCTTTTACTCTACCTCTTATTTGTGCATCACTCCACCTGGTAACCATATTGATGGCATTTGCTTCCCTATTCCTATCTCTGTCTCTAGCTATTGTTGATACCCACACTTCTCAATAAATTTATGACTGCCATTTAGGTCCACGTTTAAACGTTAACCAACCACCAGCAAATCGTATTGGTTGCTTAGAAGTGTATGTGCGATCTTCCAACACCAGAGGAATATGGCTGTCTTATTCTTACATTTAATCCATACTCATGCACGTTCGAAGTGACATTGCTCAGGAAGGTTATTGTTTCTCCATCCTGTTTGTGGTAGTGAATATACGAGTGTGAACAAATGCCCACTCACAACATTGCAATTTAAAAGGGGACCTTTGATATGTCAACTGTTATCTCATGTTGAATAACTAAGTGCAAGTCATTTAGAAACACTTGTAAGCGCCACGCTTCAACTTGACAGACTGATCGCATTTTCACTCGCGTGACACCATTATCTGCTGGCTAGATGTCTAACTGGGGCTCGCCGAAATTACAACGCGCACTAACATCTGTTTGTGTCTCGCTAACTTCTCAATTGACAGATGGATCTTATTACATTTATTCTCGTGTGACATCGTGACTTATTGCGGGTTACAATATGAGGTCAATGTATCCCATCTCAAGTGTCTCTGTATGCCCCCTTGTACTGCTGCCGCCTTCAGGTAAAAGCACTGAGATTCAGACAAGACATCAAGGTTGATTCCGGAACAGCGGCAACCCGACGTGACATGCGAATCGAAAAGCTTGGATACAGGTAGCATTCTAGTCACTGATGAATTGGTTGAGATACACTAGCGGTCAGAACGAATGATCAGGGTGAAATAAATAGTAACACACGACAGACTACCTGGTGGTTCCACATACCTGTTAATTCTCGCTCACCTCAGACGAGAGACGATCATAACCGGCTCTGGTTTACCTTCCGACACGGATAGCCTGCAGTTAATAATATAGTAGACGGCATTCACAGCACACACCAACGATTAGTCGTCAATGTTTCAATATGCCTCTACTTATTCGTTAAAGTGAGCATAGATATCATTCCCGTTCTTTCACCGCGGACTTCAACTTACCTGAATTTATATAAATCAGTGGACTTTTGCGTACCATTTCCCTGCTAACTTGTCAAGTTGCTTACACCATCTCCGTCATCTTTGTGTCATCCTTATTCTATCGCGCATGTAAGTCGCGCGCGTTCCACTCTAGAATGATTAACCATTGACTTGGTGCAATGTAGTATATTTATTGCACCTACCTAGAACGGATGAGTCACATCTAACTTACCTTTATAGGGGTTACATAACTTGGTTGTATTTCGCGGTTAATTCACGTGTTGCCCACTACACTGTTGTACTCATCATGGTCTATGACACCCTTGCTACCTTCACAAATAGAAGTTAGTACGGTGACATACCGAGACGGTGAGCTACGGCATTTTTCCTCTTCGTATTATTATTCGGCCGCGATTCACATCACTATATAAACTTCAAGGCATTGCTCACGCGAATATGTTAGCTACATTCTGTTTTACGCTTGGTTCACTCGGCCATTTTCCAGCGAACAATAGAGAACATCATAACAGGGTTGCCTAAAGCTTTCGTATACCTAGACGACATATTGGTTACGAGGGCGACAATTGACGAAGATCTACAAACTCTGAGAGTTTTTCTGGAGCGCCTGAAGTATAATGGTTTGAGACTGAAACGTGAAAAATGCGCATTCTAGGCTCTCCACGTTGATTATTTGGGTTTCCGTATAAGTGCTGAGGGACTGAAGACGATTGAGGAGAAAATCCGGCCTATCCTTGAGGCACCACAACCAGGAAATCAACACGAGTTGAGGTCGCTTGGGAATGTACATTCACTACTCAAGGTTTGTTCGGCAATCAGCCACCGTGTTACACCCGTTGTATCGTTTGTTATGCAAGGGCACTCAGTGGGTGTGGTCTGAGATGGAGGAATTGGCTTTTCGTCAAGCTAAGATTGCATTGGCCAGTCCACCGGTTTTGGCCCACTATGACCCCAAAAAGTACATGACGCTGACATGTGATGCATCACCGTACCGAGTCAGAGCCGCCCTGTTACAGCCTGAAGCGAAGGTAGTAAACAAATCACTTGCATTTGCCTCTCGGACCCTATCTCAGACCGAACGAAATTACGTCCAAATTGACAAGGAGCTTTTGGCGGTCGTTTTTGAAGTAGTGCGATTTCACCAATACCTATTCGGGCAGAGATTTGAAACACAAACAGACCACAAGCCATTACAGGGAATTCTAGATGAATGAAAAGCGATACCCCAAATGGCATCGCCCCGGATGCTTCGCTGGGCTCTACTACTCGCTGGATATCAGTAGCAACTAAAATATCTTCCTGGGAAGGAGAATCATTGTGCCGATGCTCTCAGCCAACTTCCAGTACGGGAGGTTCCGACTCACGTGCCAGCATTGAGAGAATCGGCACAACCCATCGGAGAAGCCTGATCCAGTATAAATGAAAAAGTCGGACAACGTACTATCTGTGTTGCGTCCGAGACCCATGAAAGAACGCGTAGGCTTAAAAGCGCTATAGTTCTCAACATTTCTGATGC